GGGAGGCCGGGTGGGCCCTGCTGTTGAAGGAGCCCTCCAGGGCTTCCCCTGGGTCCTACTGCCCTTGGTTCCTGTCATCTTTGACAGGAACCAAGGACATATGAATTTTAATTTTCCAAATTTTTTTAGGGGCCCCGCAGGACAGATAGAATGGCCTCATGGGCCGAATCTGGCCCACAGGCCATATTCTGCCCACCCCTGCTATATATATGTATATCTGTCTATCTACACACACACACACACTCCGGTTTCTCTTCAAATCATACTTTTTACTTAACCCCAGTGTTTTTTCTTCTTAATTTAAATATATTAATATATACATGATCAAACTCTCCATTCATAATCAGTAAATCATTCTGAGGTTCCATAAAGCACATGCATCAAGTGTATGCATTTGTGTGTGTAAACATACAGTGCGCACGCACACACACACACAAATGTACACACTGGGATCATGATTGGAGTTTTCAAACTGTATGGCAGGGCTGTGTGAGAGAATATTCTCGGCGCCAGCAATTCCTGAATTTATCTTGCCTCACACACCCACCAATGACAGTTTAGCAGGTGTTCTATTGCAATAAGCAGCAGTTCAGCTGTCACCTGGTAGGCGTAGGCTGGCTTATCAGCATTCAGCACGTTTTCAGTTCTATCACTCCAAGCTGCAGAGATCACAGCCTGATTCGTTCTATTCACTTTCTCACTGAATCCCATTAATTACAGCTGCACTTGGGTACAGCCTGATTCCTCCTAACACTAGGTGACAGAACTAAATTTATTCTATTTAAGTATTTCCAACCTTTTTTAAAGTAGAAAATGGGAAAATCCAAGATACAGAAATTAGACAATCAACCTTGTTGCTTTCAAGTGTGCCACCCAGCCCCAAAAACAACCTGATGATATTAAAAGCAACTCTGCTGGCATCCAGCAACATATTACCCTTTATATTTCTATCATTTCTATATGTTGAAAAAAATATATTGCTCAGAACAATGTTCAATAAGAACAAAACAAAGGATCTAAATTGTAGGGTTTTATTGGACACAAGGGTATGAAAAGACTCTGTAGTTACCTGTATACTTTAAAAACTGCGTATAGTACCTGCATTTCCTTATGATAATACATCATTCAAAAGAGCAACTATTTTTGTGTTTATAATTTTTCCAGTACAGCTCATTCAAAGGGAGGCAGCACTTTTTTTTATTATTCTACCTGCCTTCATTTTTCCAATTTAGAGATATATTGTACTTAAATCAACCAAGTGAATTAACTTCCCAAAAAGCACACAACAAATTAGTGGCTTTATCCTTTAATAGAAGTCCAACTTGCTCTTGGCTTCTTTGTAATACTGCATTTCCCATGCACGTCTCTAAATCACACAGTCATTAGCAACAACAGTGCAGTTCATTTTTATTCAAAATATAAGCATTAACTAGTGCTATAGTTGGTCCAATTCTAATAATAGTACTGCTACCAAAAGTTAGTTTGCTTTTTGCAGGTATTCATTATTGCTGACTCAGTGATCATTTATCTTTTTATACCTACTTCAAAATACAAATCCAGGAATGTTCAAAACGATACTGAATTGTTGATAATGTTAATAATCTGAGAGGTGTCAATTTAAAAATATTTCTCTCTTCAGTTATGGTGCTTGCTCAGGACCAAGGAGACCCTGTAAGCCAAACCAGGTTTGGCTTCTAGACCAAGGGAGGGTTTTGTCACACTACACATAGGACATGTTTCATTTAAATTGTAGCAAGGATTACTATGAGCTAGGAAGTTTTCTGAGTAGTCGCATGGTAATGATTACTACAGTTTAAAAAAACCCAAACATATCCAAAACAGCATAGCCCTTGAAGATGCTGCAAGGGCTGGGACTAACCAACAGCTGTTTGTCACTCCCAGCTCCTCCACTGCACTGGAGCTGTGAACTGGCTTCCCATGCTGGGGGGGGGTCTGGTCCCTATTAAGTTGGTCCCTTTCCAGTCTCTCCAGGTCCCCAATGCTTCTCCACTTCTTCCAGTCCCCAGAATCTTCTCCCCAGGAACTGCCAGGCTGCGTTTTTCCAGCCTGCTCTCCTATTGTCATGTTAAATCTTTTCTGGACACCTCTTCATTGCTCAGCATCTCAGCTTTTTGGATATATAAACAAAACACCATTCAAGGCTCTGCTGATACTTGAGGTGCATCAGGTCTTGTATGGCAGATAGCCAGCCCTGGCCCTTAACCTCTGTTTCTCTGTGCACAGGAGAAGGAGGAAGGCTGAATCATACAATTATAAAAATACAGTTGGCACAAAAATAGCACAATAAGACACCTAGTCCATCATACCTTTCAATAGACTTCAAAATGCATCTTTCAGGAATGTTCAAAATGATATTAAACTATTTATAATTTATGCCATAAGTCAATTTAAAAATGTATTATCTCTTCAATTACGTTACTGTACTAGAGAAGGTAGCACAAATTAGGCTTGACAATACAGAATATAACATGGCTTCCAAGATAAACAGGGGAATAAGTTTCAAGTAAAATATTGCTTTTCCTTACTACATGTCTTAATATATCACAAATCTAAATTGGAAAAAAAAGATGGAAGGCGCTATATTGTAATATATTCTAGAGTATGAGAATGAAAAACTGAGTTTATATATATAGAGATCCTCCAGCTACCTATAAATAAATACTTCACGTATATGAAAACAGAGACCTCAGTACTAACCAAGAAATGAATTACCTTTATTTCTAATGGGTTTATTCTGCAAACAATGTGTGCATGAAAAATACATAAGCTTATTGTCCAGCTCCTCCATAATCATAACTATGTAGCAATCAGAAGGTTTCTAAATCTCAGCATAATACACGTTGATCAAGGGCTGATATACAATACACCTACACCTGGGATCTGCTGAACAGTTTTTGGCTTAGCATGACACTGCTTTAAGAAAAAGGTCAAGAGCACTTCAACTACTTGGCCCCCACATGGAGTACAGACTTAGTCACAAGTGAAAATGCTTTTAAGGTGGGGAGAAGTTAGGTTTATGATATGAAAAATAATGTGGGGAAGATGCGGAGTACTTTAAATGCTTTTGCAAACAGTTAAGTATTGAATCCTTTTCCACTACTGCTATTTTTAAGCTTTTTCCATTCTTCTACAACATGTGAAATGGTCATAGTTAAGCAGTCACTCTGAGTCAGTTACTACCTACCAGAACAAAATAAAAGAACCCTATGTGCACGGCATTTTGTACAAATGATTATTCAAAAAGAGCAATTCTGTTTGTGTTTATCGATACACCTGGAAAAAAACATTAACATTTTTAATTAGAAAACTTTGAAAGTTTCAATCCATTCTGTATTTTCATCTGAAACTTGTTCCATATTATCCATAATGTTACATTGTTCTATATTAAGATAAAGTGACAAGTGTGGCAATAGAAAGGTTTAGTTGGAAAAAAATGTATGCTCATACAACAATCTAATATAACTACTTAAAAGTGCTCAAAATTCAAATAAATAGAGTGGTAATAACCCTTAATAAATTTGTACTTATCAAGTATAAAAATATATTAAACTATATACTATTAAACTTCAGAAAAGGTTAGATTGTAAAAAGCTTAACTTTGCCTGTCTCAACAGTCTAAAGTGGGGATGGAAGGTCTGGGCAGGCCCCACTCCTCCATACTCCTGCCTAGACACCATGATCACTAGACTGTCCTGCACACACCATGATCCAGAAGGATAAACAGTTGCCTACTACTATAGCTATACATACGTTGACATTATGCACAAACACACCATTTTCAAATACATTCTAACATACCTTGTCAAAAGGAATTCCATATTTTTTCAATATTGAGGGAGAAATCAGTGTCATTTTGTGGCGAAGGAAAGCATCACATCCTTGAGAGCTGCTTGGGAAGAAACCTAGTAAGGCAAAATTAGCAAAGTCAGATCTGTTTTAATTAAAACAAGGTCAGTAAACATTCTTGTACAGCAGACTTATAACTGCATATTTCTCTAGATTCTTTTCCTATTGTTACTAGTTACTGATGTATCTGAATAAAAACAGAAATATTCTTCAATAGATATTAGTCTTTCTGACCTTCAGATTCTATTTTTTGCCATATTTTTACTATAAAAGTGATGTAAATACTTCAACTGCAATCTGGGCCTACCTATTGAATACATTCCTACCCTCCCAGAAGGCTTTGTTAAAGAGTTATCTTAATTATTTAACAACATTATTTATATAGAGTTTGGAGGTTATGGAGGCAGGAGCATACTTAGTTGCTTTATTGATGCTCAACAGCTAGACAAAGATGCATCGTACCAAAACTGGCCATTGACAGCACTGACAATTTGAACCACGGGGTTTCTAATGGGGTAACAATGCTGTGTCCGCAGAAAACAACTCGTGTAATAAGTCAACTAGGAAATGGCAATATTTTCATTTTAAACAGTCAGGGTTTAATTCATACCATTCACATCAATTCATTCCTAGCCCCTCTAAAAGCATTCTGTTTGACCTCAGACAAGTCATTTTACTATTCTGCCTTTCACTTTCCCCATATGTAAAAATGTGAAGTCCTTTGTTTTTTCTTTTTCTTTTTGCTTTATTTTACAGAAGAGTCATTTAAATATTCACTATCATCATTCATAGATTCACAGACGCTAGGGTCAGAAGGGACCTCAACAGATCATCGAGTCCGACCCCCTGCCCTGGGCAGGAAAGAGTGCTGGGGTCAGATGACCCCAGCCAGATGCCTATCCAGCCTTCTCTTAAAGACCCCCAAGGTAAGCAAGGGCACCACCTTCCTTGGAAGCCCATTCCAAATTTTGGCCACCCGTACCGTGAAGAAGTTTTCCCTGACATCTAGACTAAAACTGCTCTGTCAGTTTGTGACCATTGTTCCTTGTTACTCCAAGAGGCGCCTTGGTGAACAGAGCATCGTCAATCTCTTGCTGCGTCCCCCTAATGAATTTGTGGGCGGCCACAAGATCACATCTCAGTCTTCTCTTGCAGAGGCTAAAGAGGTCCAGGGTCCCTCAGTCTCTCCTCGTAGGGCTTGTCCTGTAAACTGCTAGCCATATGAGTGGTCCTCCTCTGGTGTGCTGGATATTTTTGCACCACAGGTGCAGCACTCTGCACTTGTCCTTGTTGCACTGCATCCTATTGTGTACTGTCCACTTTTCTAACCTGTCCAGGTCTGCCTGGAATCATTCCCTAGCCTCCAGAGTGTGCACTTCACCCCACAATTTAGTATAATCCACAAACTTGGACAGAGTTACACTTCACACCCACATGCAAGTCACTGAAGATACTGAAGAGTACAGGTCCAAGGACCAAACCCTGCGGGATCCCACCACCCACATCCTTCCAGGTCAATACTGACCCGCCTACTACCACTCTCTGGGTGCAACCGCTGAGCCAATTTGCCACCCACCTGACCATGTAAACATTTATGCTGCAGCCTCTTTATTTATTTATGAGAATAGGATGAGATACCATATCGAAGGTCTTGCTAAAATCCAAGAAAACAACATCCACCTCTACTCCTGCATCTAAGCATTTTGTGATCCTGTTATAAAATAAAACCAGATTGGTTGGGGATGATCTACCTGCTACAAATCCACGCTAGGTTCCCTGCTGTGTTATTTTTCCCCACTGGACTCCCACATATATGATCCTTCATTATCTTTTCAAAGACCTTTCCAAGGATGGAAGTGAGACTCACTGGCCTATAATTACTCGGATCCTCCTTCCTCCCCTTGAAAATAGGGACCACGTTGGCCCTTTTCCAGTCCTCCGGGACCTGATCCAGGAACCACTGCTCGGCCAGTCGTTTTGCTATGACACTGGCCAATTTCTTCAGTACCCTCAGATGCAGCTCATCCAGGCCTGCTGACTTGAACTTATCCAGTCCATCCAAGTGACTCTGCACACTGTTAGTAACAGTCTACTCTTCCTGCTCATTTCTTTCAATGATGTTACAAACTGGTTGACCTGGGCATTCAGGTTAATGAACATCAGACAGAGGGATGAATTCAAAGGCAGGCTGCAACCTTTATTAATTTAACACTGTTGTTATGTACTCACTCCGTGCTTTCACATACCAGACATTTAACTTGGTCCAGTACTCCTATTAAGTAACTACAAACTTAAAGTAGACCTTCCAGACCCTATACCCAAGAACCAGGCTACTTCCAAATCCTCTTCAGGAAGCAGTAGAGCTTGCCAAAATGGAATTCTCAGGCTGACAAGACATCAGTTCTCCTTTTCTTCTACAGGAATAAGTTCCACTTGCAAAACTCATGCCTTATCTCTCTGGGACCTATTTGGCCTTTATCCACACTAGACATGAGTTATAGACTTACCTCCTCCAACATGATTAAATTTTCAAGTTCTTTTTATTTCAACTGTGTCTCCATGATATTGTTAGGGAGGTGGAAAAGAAAATCCAGACTTCAATCAATTTGACCAAAACAAAAATTCTTTCCTAATTCCAAACCAGGTAAGTGACTCTCACCCTCCTGAAAACACTGCTACTACACTGAATCCTAAAGAGGTAGAGTAGGACAGGCAGTAAACAGGGACAAGAAGCTCTTGAAAACCCAGGAGAGGCATATTAAATATTGAAGGAAGAGGGTGATTTGAAAGTCAAACAGCCAAGCAAGTCTCCCATGGGTCCCAGCTAAAGAAAGAACAGAGGACGTGAGGAGGCAGAAGAGAAGCCTGCCCCTATATTGTTAAACATGAATTCTTCTACTCCCCTCAACTCTATCCAGGCACTATGTTACACTCCTTGCTTTCAAATCAGCATCCCTTTCAGCTGATGAAAGCACAAAGGGAACACTTGCAATGTCAAGGCATATTATAATGAAAATGAACTTTAGTGCTTCAAAGACTGGATTGTAATATTAATGAACCAAGCAAGAGAAGAAGGCTGATGACGGACAGTTTTTGTTTACACCAAGTTACTCAATAATCAATGATGAGAAAAATCTTTAGTCAAACATCAAATACTAGCACTTATCGTTAGAAGACCTACTGTGGATCACTGACGTTCAGAAATTTAGCAATTAGGCACATATGATATTAAAATACCAACTATATAACATTTCCAAATAGTTCATTTTGGCAAATTCAATTTTGTTTTGATTTATTCATACTATGAAGTATTTCTTGAACAATCACTTACATTTTAATAGTATCAATAAATTACTGCACTTACATACTCTCTCAACCAATGATCTCTCAACCAATGACACTACTCCCCATTATTACAGCGAGGCAAAAGGTAGGTTAAATGACTTTCCGTGCAAACAGGAAAGGACTGGAGCAAATTCAGGCACCAAACCCTGGAGCACTTACCCCCAGCCCTAGCCTTTTAAATGTAGATTTCACTTTAGCATTCTGCCATTAGAAAGGGCAAAAGGATTACTTTTTTGTGAAATTTATAGGTTTGTAAATCAGAGGTTCAACTGCAAAGAAGAGTGGATGAAAAGGAGAAAAGGTAGCAGAGACTGATAAAATCCTAGACTTCATAAACTTTGTTATAACGTGCTTTTTACAAAAATAAATAAAAACAGATGTCTGCTATATAAGACTGACATATATGAATAAAGCATACTCCCCCCCCCACCCTTTTTTCATCTTTGTACAACAAATAATAGCCATTCTCATTTTTCTCCACTCTGGTGGACGTTGCTTCTAACATACACATGTGGAAAGGAAATAAGAGGAAATGAGTTAGGATATGGTGTCACTTGATTGTAAAAATCTGCTCAGGACAATAAAGCATGGCATGGCATGGCAAGGCAAAAATAAGACATGAAACAACACATTTCAGTACCCACTAAAAGTTTTTCTTTAAAGGACTATACCATTCATGAAATAATTAAAAACAAATGCACGCACACTAAGAGCTAGTTCTTGGCAGTATATTTCAAATGAACGCATCAATCTTAAAATCTGTAGTTTTGTACTGCATTCAATGAATTAAATTTTAAATTAAAATCAATAAAGAAAGAAGAGTCTATTTAAATTCTTTTTCTATATGGATTTGTAATCAAGGCCAGAACAAATGTGGTGACTGGTCAAAACTTAATTTAAATTGAAAAACCAGTGAAGGAAGGTAATATGCAGTATATTAAATACTTCATATTAGTTTGGAATTTATATTTACAATGAACCACTGAAATTATGCCTTACATCTTCCCAATAAAACACATCATGTATAATATATAATATACTTCGTGTTCCGAATTTCAGCTTAATTTCAAATGTATTGGAAACTAAAGAAAAAAATTTCATAAACAGGAGTCTAAAGTAAGGCATCCAAATTCATATTTAGGCACATACATATATGAACTGATTTTTGGAAATGCTAAGTGCCCAACAGGCCCAAGATGCTCAGCAACTTTTAGGTGCCTACATGGGATGTCAATGAATAACTTCAGGCACCTAGTCATGACAAGAACTTAATAAATAAGGTCACCTGTTCCAACAACGACCAAGATCATTTTCAGTTTTAACATCAAGTTTCACACACATTCATATGGAAGAAAACCATTTGAAAATACATCCTGTTTTTAGTACACAAAGAACACATGAATAATATTTTTCCAAGGAGCAGAAAAACATCCCAAGCATTAAAGACAGAAATTTAAGTGGATAAAAAAGGTAGAGGTTACTGATCATTCTTGTAAATTGCTACAACTGTGAATTTCAGTGAGAAGAGCTTTAAACTCAGTTCACCCAGGGATGGAGACGAAAGCCCAGAGGTTAGTAAACAGCGGGGAGACCTGGATAAAAACTAGAGAGGAAGCAATAATGAGAACCTTAGCATTGTTCTCAAGGAGAGGACAGGACAGTCAGTCAGACTACCAAAATGTTTATACACTAATGCAAGAAGTATGGGGAA